TCTGATAACCAAGTGATTCGGAATCACGTTAGCCGTTCGAACCGGTTTTTAAAAACATGATTTACCTAAGGCTATATAATTCCCACAATTTTCATTAATTTCGTTAAAAAAAATTGTAAATATTCTGTAAGGATGAATAAATTTGATTACGAAAACTGCATGCCAATATGTATCACAGTTTTCTTAGAAAAAAATCCTCAAAAAGTCGATTTTTATAGGCTGGATTACAACAATATCCCTTTAAGAACCATTTTATTCCCACATCGTTGGTCTTTAAATTGGTTTTAGAACCATATGATTCAGTCATACTTATTCGATAGAATTTTGACAATATAGAAATATATCGGTATTTTAAGAAGTGAATATTCATTCTTTCTTGACGATATTTCATTGGAGATAATATATAGAACAGTATTCCAAGACAGTGGTGCTCTTCCATATTATGCTAAAACTCGACAATTCTGAAATAAAGAATTTCAGAATAAATGTATAAGATGTGATGGGCTGGTATAATGAACCATGGCTACCAAGTTTACCTGATTTGACACACTTCGAATTTTTTTAAACTATAGAATATTTATTTTTTTTTAGAAAATTTAATATTAATATAATATCTTAGAAAACTTAAAATAGAATAATATTTTACGCTCTAATGTTAGTTTCTCTGTACCATGTAATTCCAGAATCATTCAAATTGGTATCTACAATGGTTTCGGAGAAAATGATTTATACGATATTATTTCTTTCACCTTGTAAATATTATAAAAGGTTTAAAATATTTTATGAAATATTGATTTTTCTGACATTGTCTAATACTTTTTAGAATATCAATAGAATCATTGATAATCATTGAAAAAGAGGAAAATAGAAACAAATTATAAGGTTTCATTTAAAAAACAAGTGCAAATGTATTTTGCATTGATACCCTTCTGGAATCAGGGTTTTTGCATTGTAAGGTCATAGATTATGTTAAAAGGTACAGAATTTTTTTTATATTTTTTTTTTTTTCAATAAAAATAGAATTATAGTTCACTCCATTAAACGGACTTATCTTGTATACGATATTAATTGATTAATTTATATTCTAAAAAAATTTAGTATAATTAAATTCAGTCAATTATAGTTATTCCATTGTAGGAGTATATCAGTACTATTACATCTTGTAATTCAATAAATTAACAATATATAATATTAATTAATTAATTTATATTTAAAATAAATTTGGTATAATTAAATTTAGTCAATTACATTCTAAAACATGTAGTATAATTAAATTTAGTCAATTATAGCTATTGCGTTGTAAGAGTATATCAGTTCTATTACATCTTGTAATTCAATAAATTAACAATCATTCGAAGATTATAATTATTTCGTATTTTCATATAATTACAAATTTTAAACATAATATTTCACCATAATTTATTTATAAATATATTGTTTTATTTTTGATAATCTAGATTGATGAAGAAGTGATATAAAGGGAAAGAAAATAGTAAAAAGTATAGCATTCAAATTAAATTTAAAACAGAAATATTATTTATCGTAATGAAAGAATGAATTCACGATAATTTCATTCTGCTAATAATACTGTGGCACAAATTTAGATCTTTCTGTAGTATGTTCTGTAGTATGTACTTCGTGTTTCTGGTAGAGTTTCTTGTCTCAAACACGAATCCGAAATCCAAATTGCTCTATCACTCTTAATCTTCGAAACAAATTTTTTCGAAAACCGTGTATGCGTTGCTCCTGAATATTTTTGCAATTTGTGAAAACTGAAAATCGCTACATTTTTCTGATTGGCTTTTCCTTAAGAGATGTCTACGATATCAGATACTGTGCACAGTTTTCGTGTAAAATAGGCAACTGTTCGTAAATATGTAAAAATATTACGTAAGAAGTACGTTGTTCAACATTTTTTAAACATTTGATGATTACGTACACAATCATTCGCAATTATTTAAACGATCAAAATATTGCAGGATGGCGAAAACTGGTTTTGAGACACCAAAAACTGACAGAACAACAAGAACAGAATAACACGAACACAAAACTCATAAAACTAATTTAACTTAGGAAAAGGACACCAAAGTAACGAAACGAAAACACATAAAGACGCACTCTAATTTAACTCTCTTTCCAACACCGAGCGACTCACGCTCGTGCTGGCCACAATTAATTTCTAAGGACTCTGTTTTGGTCGTCAAGGGCCCTGCTTTTATGCTTTTCTTAACCTACGCTTCACCTCCTCGTAGGGACCGCGCAACTTAATTTTGCTACCCAAAATAACTTTTCCATTTGCTTCTAAAAAATATTGATCGGTTTATAATTTGTTTTTGTTGGCAATGGCCGATTCGCGATTTCTTTCCGAAATGGTATCCTACAATATTACAACTATCAACATATTCAGAACTCTCGCTTCTATTTTTAAGCCAAGTTAGAACCATCTAATGTTTTTGCTTTTTACGTAATAACTGTTTTGTAACGATACTCGTCTTGCTTTTTACACAACTTTTTTATAACAATACTCGTTTTCTTGGAAACTAAAGGTGATAGAGTAATTTGGACTCCGGATTCGTGTTCAAGACGAGGAAACCTACTAGAAATATATGGTGGACTTCACAGAATCAAATTCGTGTAATCTTATGGTGTATCATATTATCAAATTATTCTATATTAAAGATAATTATATCTTATATTGGGTTGGCAACTAAGTGATTGCGGATTTTATCAATAGATGACTTTTGCACATTGTTTTGTTTTGTCAGTGTGTTCAAGGCACCTAACTTATTTTGTTTTCTTGTTGTTTGGACTTCCGCCTTTGATTTAGTTGAAAAATTGTATCGATTAGTTATTTAGTTTCGTTTTTATCCCAATTTAAAGATGGAAGAACAAGACACGCATTTCGGACATATTTTATTGTTTTATTTCCGAAAAGGCAAGAACGCATCGCAAGCACGCAAGAAGTTATGTGTCGTAAATGAGAATGAAGCCTTGAAAGAAAGACAGTGTCAAAATTGGTTTGCCGAATTTCATTTTAGTGATTTTTCACTGAATAATGCGCAACAATCTGGCCGTCCAGTTGAAGTTGATGAGACCCATATCAAGGCCATTATCGATTCAGATCGTCATAACACAACACGTGAGATTGCAGAGAAACTCAATATATCGCATACATGCATTAAAAAAAAATTAAAACGGCTTGGCTCTGTCAAGAAACCCGATCAGCTTAAGGAATTTCATTTGACGCAACGCATTAGCATCTGCGATTCGCTTCTGAAACACAACGAAATTGATCGATTTCTGAAACGACTGATAACTGGCGACGAAAAGTGGATAGTTTATAACAACGTTAATCGGAAAAGATCGTGGGTGATTCAAGATGAACCAGCCCAGACGACACCAAAATCTGAGATTCTCTAAAAAATTTTGTATTTTTCTTCTGATTTAAAATCCGCAATCACTTAGTTGCCAACCTTATATTATAAGACCAGATTATAAATCAGATTATCTAGCCTTACATTGGCTTACATTACCAAGTTGTTCCACTTTGTATATTGTATTTGGTGCATACATGTCACTTTGCTCTAAGGTTTTCTTCTTTTTTCCAGTTAACTAATACTTTTTCTGTAATTGCCTCATACATAGGTAACGCATTTAAGCGAAGGAACGTGTTGTTAGTACTATAACGCAAAATTTGGAGTACACGTCATTTGCATTCAAAGTATTCATGAGTCACTTATCTCTACTATATAGGAATCATTTTATGTACATGCTACTTGACTTCTTATGTGTTACTTGTTAATTTGAATGACGCATATCGACTGCCTTGACATTCTTTTACGTCATAGCAATTGCTCTGAAGTCAAAGGAAAATTTCATAGCACGTTCACAGTTAGCAATCTTTTCACTTTTCTAGTGCTGAAAATCGAATGAAGAGTAGAAATTTGAAAGCCAAAATTTTGAAATTTTTGAAATTTTTGAAAAATTTGAAAAATAGAAATTTTAGGCTTTTGTTTGATTTTTCTCCTAAAGCAAGAATAAAAATTATTAAATTTATTTTACAACGTGAAGTTTGTAAAAGATCGTTCCTTCGAACCACATTAGTGACAACCAAGAACAGAGTTTGAAACGAATTTCTGTGAGCAGCAAGCAGTAGAAATAAAATTTAAAATGACATAAATTCATATTAGCAGCTGTGAATGTGTTAAGGTCTTTTATATTTAAATCCATGTATGGTTGTAGATTCTTCCTATCCCATCATCTTCTTCCAATAGAATAAAACTATTATTATTATATGTTATGACAAAACTATGCAATTTTTGTGGGAGATATATAAATTTTCATGAAATTTTGAATGTGAAAGAGTTGAACGAAACCTAGCATATCTATTATGCACTATAGTATTAGATATCTATAAACATCTAATTTTAACAGATTCCGATAATAGCGATTTGTATATCGAGATAAATCTGTGAAAGTACGCTAATTATAACTTTTTCAATTTTTCTGTACACTTTTTTTGTTAATGAAAAATCAGAAAAAGAAGCAGTAGAAACAAAATTTAAGATGACGCAAATTCATATTAGCAGCTGTGAATGTGTTAAGGTTTTTTATATTTAGATCCATATAAGGTTGTAGATCTTCCTATCCCATCATCTTCTTCCAATAGAATAAAACTATTATTATTATATGTTATGACAAAACTATGCAATTTTTGTGGGAGATATATAAATTTTCATGAAATTTTGAATGTGAAAGAGTTGAACGAAACCTAGCATATCTATTATGCACTATAGTATTAGATATCGATATACGCCTAATTTTAACAGATTTCGATAATAGCGATTTGTATATCGAGATAAATCTGTGAGAGTACGTTAATTTATAACTTTTTCAATTTTTCTGTATATTTTTTTGTTAATGAAGAGTAAGAAAAAGAAGAAACGCCAAGTTTAGCGAGTAAAAAATCAAAAAGTAAAAACTTTATTAACAAATTTCAGCATCGTATGGATACTTATTGTATGTTGTCTCTACGTAACGAGTATATTTTACGGGCTCGTTATATTAGAATATATTGGCGTGGCACTCGTGAATTTGAATGCAATAAGCGATACGTTTAATCCAACCTATGAGATCAAGGATCCATGCAGTGTTTGCAGTAATAACAGTTGCAAGAGACATAAATTGCTACCACACTCGACTAAAGTGAAAATACCAAAGGACTTTGACCATGAGTTGGAACAAGTAATTACTTTTTCAAGTTCATATTACACACGAGAATTCTGTTCCTCGAATAATGCAACTTAATCGCATGTTTTGCACAGTGTTCTGATTCTGTTTTTGCATTTTACGTTTTGCAACAATCGATTAAATACAACAAGGTACAGCAGGGTCGTGTTAATTAAACGCTGCTTTAGTTTTTTACGATGATCTTTTATTATAGTTTCTTTACGATGGAGTTGGCCGTTAACCTTTAGAGTCCCGAGCAGCGCGATCGCGCTCTTCGGTCGAAGTGGCGTGCTCAACTTTGCTGATGCACGTACGTCACATAGTACCAACAAACTCTATTACGACGATTGGGATTTTGAGACATAAAATTAAACAAGCGCTATCGCGCCGTTTGGACTTCTTTGCACAAGATTAAGACAAGCGTTATCGCGCTGTTCAGGGTTTTTCGACCGTGTCCTTCCGAAAGCCTCTTGGACTCAAACGGTTAATATCTCTATGTCAGACAATTACTAATACAGACTTTATTAACTCTTTGCACTCGGCGATTTTTTCGTTACAGAAAAATAGTAAATCGGAGACTTTCTGTCGTAAAGTCGAGGATATTTTTAAAACGGTAAATAAGAAGTCGTATGCAAATTAAGACGTTGAATTATTTTATTTCAACATTTCACGCATTGTTGCGTATATTTTAAATTTGATATATTAATTAACATCGATATTTGGAATTCGATTAAATGGCGACTGAGAGGCGCCCCTCGAGTGCAAAGGGTTAATGATAAATGAGTGAAGAAATACAATGCTATTTCCCCAAAATTTCAATAGAATCGTTTGAATTCCAATGATGCATTTTTATTATTCCTCCACTACTTGGTACCTCGAACCGAGTGGAATTTAATCCTTTTATTGTAATAAAATTAGCGAATAGATATAGTGGAGTAAACAGGGAAGAGTCAGTGTGTCGAGTATAGGGTGAATCGTTCAGTTACAAAAATCATTATCATAAAATTACTAATTATAAAATATTAGTAGCAAATAATTGTGGGTAGAATGGATAATAATTTCCGAGACCTTTCAAACAAGTAACGCGCAAAATATATTTAAGTTAAGATATTTAAATAACAAATTATTTGGAATGATAAATGATCCAGAAGCTTCTTCTCTCTCACTCACTCTTTGATATTTCTCTCACAACTGTTTCATTCTGGCACGTTCTTCTAAACATATTTTCAAATATCATTCACACTAGACGGCACTCGGTCACATTATATTTATATCACATATTGCACAATTAAGCCGTTCACTGCACAAATCGATTAACTCCATTTTTTGAAAAATCTTAAATTTAAGTGTCAAAGCACTTGGTATAGTCATAACTTTTTATATTTATAATAACTTTCCCCGATAATTAAGATTGACACCGTTAAACGACAAAAATTTGTTGACCACTGAATAATAAATAATTTATTTCAGAGGTCACTTTGATTAACTCCGTACTCTAATGTAAATCGTTGCAATAATGCAATTCAAATGCACTAGCAAACCATGAATGATAACGGTGAATTTTTTAGTGTCGTCTTATCAGAATTTAAGTAAAATTTAGTAAAATTTAAATTTATTACTTTTTCACTTGTCAAATCGATTATCTCTTCCAGTAACATAAAAATGGTAACATTACTAACGATTACCTTTTGGCTATTTTTTCTTATAAATTTTATATACCGTTAGATGAAAGTTACATTTGTATTTATGCATTCTACGATATTTATTTCGATTTAAATTATAAAGGGAATTTTAAAAAACAATATACATTATTTCATTGCATTTCTCCACTTTTTGTTTTATGGAGTTAATCAATTTGTGCAGTGAACGGCTCATATATAGGACAAATGAGTTTCACTCATTCAACCTCACTCATACTCGACACTCACAATCAACACTCGCAATAATAATTAATAATAAAAAATCTATCAATTTATTAATAAAATTTTTTATAAAAATTAATAAAATTTTTAATACAAATTTCTACATCTTTCACTGTTAGACTTTCATTAAAGTCATTCATGCTTTTGTAGAATAATATATTTTGGTTTGGTATTTTATACACTTGCTGTTACATAGATGTACAAAATAACATAATTTCTCTTCATAATATAAATTATAATTGCTTCCACGTATGACACACACCAGAGATCATAAGAAGGCAAAAAGTTGGTAATAAAAAGATATTTCACACCTTGTATTCTAAGCATTGCCAACTCAACGACTTCATCGTGCCAAATATTACCAACTTAAACTAAAATTCAGTTGTCCACTGACATTGGCTTTTTCTTTAGGATGGATTGGCGAGATTCTTCCGATGAAAATAAGTCTAAACACGGCATAGAGGAATGTTACCATGTTTGCATCTACAGAATGATTCATGACTAATCAAACTCATGGAATTTTATCTTGTGTGCATAACGATTTCTCGAAGTGCTCAGGGTTTATTATCGTAACTTGGTATATTATTTCTTTCTTCTTGTTTATTCCGACAATATCTATTCCTTTTTCTCGTCGAAGGACTCGAGATAATTCCTGCTATAAAATTGCTATCTGTTTCTCAAGAATTTCAATCGATTTACTGAAATTTAGAGTATGATTGTATATGTAACATTAATCGAATCTAATTAAGTATGCAATTGAATTAATAATAAAGTTATTGATTAATACAATATATTAACCCTTTGCACTCGAGAAGTAACTCTCGTTGTCAGTCACCGTTTGTTTCAATACCTGGAAGCCTGAGTAACGAGTATGAGATATTACTAGATTAGAAATAACTCCAGATGAAATATTGAAATGAAATACACGTGATTTTCTCTTTTTATTTTAACATAAATGGTATCACTGAGATAAGAAAAATATAAGAAAAGCTTCGAATTGTTATATCTTCATAACGAGGAAATTTTCCAGTGCAATAAAATTTGAACAACCAATTGCATTTCCTACCACGTTAAACGTGCAATTGGTACTGTTGATTTTAATCATCTTACCATTATTCGATACCTTTCCTAATCCTTTGTACTCGAAGACTTTCTCGTCGTAAACAGCAATTCGAAGCTTTTCTTAGATTTTCGTAAGCTCGCTGATACTCTTTATGCCAAAATAAAAAAAGAAAATCGTGCATTTGTGTGAGAAATGAACGAATAGAATTATTTTATTTCGATATTTCGCGCGTAGTTGTTAATATAATTATCATCATTCGTTGTTTGAGTTATAGCATTGAAGCAAACGGTGACTGAGAGTCACCTCTCGAGTGCAGAGGGTTAATTGTTGAACATCTCCATCTTTGGCATAGATCGAGCGTTTGACGTTGAATGACTATAGTTATCTTTAGAGCTCGTTACGATACCTTCATGGTGATACAAGTTCGATATATGTAGATCTGATACGAGTTCGATTCTCACACGACGCAGCATACTAATTGATACAGTGTACTCTTGCTACATCGTATCCAAGGATACCGAATGTTGATATTATATTATATACTATATTGATATTGTAGGGTGTGGAATAAGGACGCAGGGAAAGGGCGCATACGAGACAAATGACATGGTCTTTCTTTCTTTTTTTTTTTTTTTTTTTTTTTTTTTTTTTTTTTTTTTTTTTTTTTTTTTTTTTTTTTTTTTTTTTACGTGAGGGAAATTTTCGAAAGATGCCCGACCCCCTAGGGGAGGGGGATGGGGTTATGTGGGATTGCAGCCCACTAAAACCCCCACGATGGCCATCCTACTGCGACATTGGAGCGCCCTGGATTTCGCGAGCCGACGCAATTGCCAGAGCACCCCAGCGCAACACACCTTTGCAGGTCCCCCCACCCCCCACCCCCCAACGCGATGGGCACACACCACTTCCTCACTCATACCAGTATGCACGCGGACCCGAAACGGACACACGCACACTTCCATACCTCTATCGGTGCCACGCAGTTACCCTGCGCCACCGTCCACTATGACCACGGCCTCCCGGACAGGCGGGCCCCTACCCAGCTGTCCGTGATCCACCCTGGCCCCGGGTCGCAGAGGGAAGGGAGACTATCTCCCCATTCCAAGGGGCAGAGTCGCTCGCGTCATAAATGACACGGTCCTGGGTTAACCCTTTGCACTCGACGATTTTTTAGCTAAAGATGAGTAGGAGTTCAACGATTTTCTGCTATAAAGCAGGCAATATTTCTTTCAGCAGTAAATAAGAAATCGTATAATAAATAACACGTAGAATTATTTGATTTCGATAGCTCGCACAATTTTACATTATCTTAAATTTGATATATTAATTAATATCGATCTTCGAAATTTTTTCTAATGGCGACTGATGGTCGCCTCTCGAGTGCAAAGGGCTAATAACGATAATGTACATTTAAAATATGATCTATTACTTACTACAGTTTGAACACGTTGACTGCCGACTACGAGATATCTCGTAGGTTGTTTACTTGCCCAGGATGCCTTCTACGAGTTATATCGTCCCTTCGTTATTTGCCATATTTGTACAGCTTTGAGGAAACTCGTAGTATAATGTAGGAAGGGTTTTAGTAAAACTAGAACTTTTGCTTCTGGGTAACTTTTTATTCTCTTCGTACGCTGGTCGGATAGTGCCCCAAAAATGCATCCCTCGCTGTTTTATAGGCCGTGTCCCCTCCCGTCGCCTTGCCTTCACGTGTCCGTAGCCTCTTCCGCTGAGGTCCAGTCCAGATGCCCCAGCTTGGTGTCTAGCATCCCCATCTGTGGCTGTTGTCCTTGGGCCCCATCGAAGCCTTCCTAGAACTCCAACGAAGAGTTTTCTCCCACCGGAAGACAATGGGCAGCGGTGAAAGTTGCCCACAATAAGTGTAGTATAATTCAAAAAGAAAAAGTTTATACATGTTTATTCATGCAGAATAACATTTTTGTGGTTTGTGGTAATATTTAAAACAATCTTGCACACCAACTACGAGATAATTCGTAAGATGTTTTTTTTTAACCTCTTAGGTACGATGA